CGGGAGCCACACGACACATTTTTTACAAAAGAAAGTGAAAAAAGAAAAAGAAAAAATACTGTTTATTTCACACAACTACATCAAGTGCATCAGTCTAACAGAGCAAGACAGCCAGACCGGCTCCCCACCCCCACGGAGCCCTTCCCTCCCGCCTTGTTCAACTTATACCACCTCACATGGCACTCTGTGAAATCCAACAGCTTCTCTTGAAACCGAGCAGTGGCGTTAACCGAGGCGAGGGGGAATGGCCTGCCCAACGAGGACTCGCTAAGTGGGGGGAGCCCTGGAGATTGGAGGCTGGAGACACAGGACTGGCGATAGTGTTTCAGGTTCTGATTGACCCGGGGCGGCGGCGTATGAACCACCTCCTGCTCCAAGGATGGTATGAAACTGCTTTTGCTCCCAGTCCTGCCCACCCACTCTGGCCATGTCTGGAAATCACTGAAACACTCATTTCTTGGGCAGGGAGAAAGGGAGATGGATCCCCTTTATTAGGGAGGAATTTGCCTGCCAACCCTGCCCTAGCTATTCCAAACGGAGGTGGCGGGACAGCAGATCCGGAAAGGTACTTCCTAAAAAACAAAAAAACACAACCCTCCCTCTAAGAAACCTTCTTTGGACAGATCCAGACGCGCCCCTCGAGCACCTCGTTCTGCCGTTCAGAGCAGAGGTTTGGGGAATCAGCAACGCCTGTGTGGCACTGGTTTCACCACCACACCGGGCAGCCAACGGAACGGCTAGCTTTGCTTGTAGCGTCTTGGGAACAGCAGCATCAACTCAGGGCAGCGGACCAACCAAACATCCTAGCAAAAGGCTGATTGGAAGGGGATGGTGCCAAGAAATTCTATTGCACAGCAGAATCGCCCTGCTGATGCTGGGACTGAGGTCTGCTTGTGGAGGCAGCAGCCGCTGTCCAATTAATCGGCTTGGTCTTTCCCCTGTTCCTCCTCTCCCTGCTGGGTCTCGTGGTCCTGGGCTAGTGACACTCAGCCTGCGGGCAGATCTTTGCCCGATAAAAATGCGGTAAAACCAAAGCAGCTTTTCAGTTCAGCAAAACCCTCCACTGGCCCCCATCCCGCCCAGGTCGGCTGTCCCCAAATCAACGTGACATGTAAACATTTTGCCTGGCAGCGAGTTACGCTGAAACTCCAGTGCCACCCTCCTGGAGCAGAAAGCTCAATTCGGAAGGTGGGCAATGAACTAGGACACAGACTCCCTTGAGATTCCCCTAGGAGTAACGACTAGCCTCTGGGATGTGTCCTGGAGATCAGGATGTCAGACCCATAACCCTCATATATCTCCTAGGATAAAGAGGGCTTTATGGGACACTGACCCCTATACCCGATTCTCATCCTACTGGGCTATCTGACTCTTTCCTAGCCTGTAGGTGGGCCCCTGGCTGCAGATGAAATTGTGCCGGGGTCTGATGCCACCTCTTGATTACCATGCAGGCAAGCAGAACCTCCCACTCCACTTAGCCACAGAAGCTACTTTCTGATGATCTACTTTGGGACTGAAATTTAGGCCTTGTTTTTGTTTGTTTTTTAAATGCTTAGGCCCGAGGCAACCAGCACTGTCTCTTTAAGATAAGCAGAAGAGGCAGCACCGAATAGGACCTTTTCCTGGGTTTACAGTTAAGGATTATTGTGAAATCATTTATATCTCTATATATTTTGGCTTTCACAAGACAGCAAAACACACCTCCCATTCCCTTCTTATGTTAAAGACACACAGTGCATATACAGACAGGAACAGGCTGGCCCCACCCTCCCCGCAGGACCTTAATACGCACAGCTTCCTCCCCTTTTGCACTGAGCCCAGCTTAGAAAGAGGGCACCTGGGAGAGATCTCATTCCACCTCCCTGTATCCCGCCGGAGAGCTGGGCTCTGGCGCGTTTTGCAGTGATGCCACACAGGCGGTGGCGGGGGACGACACGTTCAGGCGACGTCCGACGCGCTCTA